TATGTTATCTTTTCATTAGTACAGAACATAGGTAGGCAGAGCTCTTGGAACAGAGTTAATGTTAATTAACATTAATGTTGTATTCCTCAGAGCCAGGGTCTGTAACATCCCCTCAGAACAGAATTCCAGCAGCTCAGAACTCTTGCTGGGTTTCAGCTGCGTGGAATCACAAGTTCTTTTGTCACAAATGCTTCAGCCCTTGGTGCTGTCTGTCTGCCACCTGGGATGGGAGATCCTCTACCAGGGTTTCTTGCAGTGCCTGACAGGAGATGCCGCCTGTTCTTAGGGAGCTGGGTATAAATAGCCCTGCAGAAGCGACAGCCTTGGGTTGCTGGTGGATGGATGAGGAACACAGGGGTGGCTGAGGGTTGCCACTTGAAAGATGTAACTGTAGCCACCTTTAAAGCCTGGTCCTCTGGGATTTATTCAAGGTCATGCAAGGAGTTTGTAGCAGAGCCAGGACCTGCACCGGGCTCTGCCGGCTCCCAGCGTGATGCCTCGAGAATAAAGGCTATCTTTCATCTAAATTAAACCCCCACGATTTTACAGAAGCTTCAGGGCCTCTGTCTAATCTATTCACACAGCATTCATCACCATGGCATCTAGGTGCCACTCTCCTCATCTCTTAACCTTGCCAGAGTCTGTCATGAATATTCTGAGCATCTCTCTGGGTTTCCAAATGAGGTGAACGCGCTCTTCCACTCTCTCTGCCTCCACTTCCACTTTGCTGATAAACAACCCGCCCGTTATAGCCTGAAAAATATATGTAAAAAAAAAAAAAAGGAGGGGAAAAAAAAGGACAAAACACCAAGAGGATGTCCAATTAGCAAATCTCACACTTTGCCATATTTTGGAGCTCCTTTCCCCATTAGAACCTGTGCACTATAACAACATGGCCTGTCACTGCACAGCCTGCCAGCTGCATAAAATCAAGGCATCAGGCTTTTTTAATTGAATGCATAATGAGGTGACTGGCAGGTTTAATTAACAAAACTCATCCTGTGTATGCACCTGGAGGTGAAAATAAGTTTAATCAAGAGGAGTTGGCAAGTGCCAACAGCTCTGTCGTGGCTCCCCCAACCCCCTCTTATTTTGGTTTGTTTCAGCCAGGCTTTATATTTGCAAAAATGGCTCTGGGTGCTGATTAATTATCTTTAGCCCAAGATTGATGAGTTGTTGCAGCCTGCCTGTAATGAGAACCACTGCTCCTGGAAAAGCTGCACTGGAAGCTTTAATAATCAGGCTGCCTTAGATAAACTACTTATGGCAAACATTCAAGGTGTCTGGACGTGGTCTTATTACAGTAACCCTTGAGGACCTAATCCATGGGAGGAAAATGTGTCCTTAAAATGCGTTGCCTGGTTTTATTGCCAAGAGAAGGTGGATTCCTGGTGAGGAGGAGGGTGTGGAGCTTTCTCAGAAAGAGATCTCTCAACCTCTTGATCGAGGCAGAAGCCACAAGGAATGTGGTTACTTAGGTTGAATTATTTCTGGTTTGAAATGGCAATTAGGCCATCTTTGGAGGGACCTCATGTTCATAGAATCATAGAATCAGCTGGGTTGGGAGGGAACTCTGAGATCATCAAGTCCAACCCTTGATCCAACCCCGCCGTGGTTCCCAGCCCATGGCACTGATGCCACATCCAGTCTTGTCTTAAAAACCTCCAGAGATGGAGAATCCACCCCTTCCCTGGGCAGCCCATTCCAATGGCTGAGCACCCTCTCTGCAAAGAAATTCTTCCCAATATCCAGCCTAAACCTCCCCTGGCACAGCTGAAGACCCAGCCCTCTTGTCTTGCTGATCATTGCCTGGGAAAAGAGACCAAACCCCCCCGGCTCCCCCCTCTTGTCAGGGAGTTGCAGAGAGTGAGGAGGTCTCCCCTGAGCCTCCTCTTCTCCAGACTGAACAGCTCCAGCTCCCTCAGCCTCTCCTCACAGCACTTGTGCTCCAGTCCCTTCCCCAGCCTCGTTGCTCTTCTCTGGACCTGCTCCAGAGGTTGAGAGTCACAGCTAGAAGGTAAAACATGCCTTCAGAAGGCAAGGCTAGAGGATATATCCCCATGTGTAAGGTCAGCCTGGGCCTCCACAAGACAGGACACCCACACTGCATCCAACGCCCACTTTGGCCCTGGTGCCTCCAAGCTGAGAGTGCAAAGCTGGGGCGGGAGAGGTGACCCCAGAGGTGACCATGTGTGAGTGCATCTGCCCTGCCCACCACACGTGCCCCTGGGCAGCTGCTGGCTCTGGGGGTGCCCGAGCTGGAGCTGCTGGATCCCCCCCTCCCCAGCCAGCCTGGGGAAGGTGTCACCCAGCCAAGTTGTAGCAGAGGTTGTGGGCGTTCTCCGGGGAGGTTAATGCATTCAAGCTGTCAAAATATTCTTCCTGCTATTCACCCAGTTAACATGCCCTCTCTTTCTTTTTCTTTGAAAAGGCATTTGCTATGGTATTCTAATACATGGTCTGTGTTCAAGATGTTACTGACAGCTGTTGTATGACTACAGGAAGGAAATTATGACTCCCTAATGATAACATGTCACGGCGTGTCTCTCTGCTTTTCTCTTCCTTTAGCTGTACATTTCTCCTGCCAGTGTCTCCTCACTGCACCCATGCACTGCATTGTGCAGCAGTGACATGTCTGCCATGTGCTTTCTTAAAAAAAAAACACACACAAAAAAAAAGATGTTCTGATGGTTTCTACCTTGCCTTTAAATAATGTGGATAAATTTTGTTTGCTCTATTCTGCTCTTGTGAGACCCCACCTGGAACACTGTGCACAGTTGTGGGGTCCCTAACATAAGGAAGGCTATGGAACTGTTGGAGCAAGTCCAAAGGGGGACTGGGGCACCTCCTCTGGGAGAGCTGGGGCTGTCCAGCCTGGAGAAGAGAAGGTGGTGTGGAGACCTCACAGCACCTTCCAGGGTCTGAAGGGGCTACAGGGAAGACAGAGAGGGACTGGAGTGACAGGAAAAGGGGGAATGGCTTCAAACTGAAAGGCAGGAAATTTTAGTTGTATAGATGGAAGAAATTCCTCCCGGTGAGGGTGGGGAGGCCCTGGCACAGGTTGCCCAGAGAAGCTGTGGCTGCCCCATCCCTGGAAGTGTCCAAGGCCAGGTTGGATGGGTCTTGGAGCAACCTGGGCTAGTGGAAGGTGTCCCTGCCCGTGGCAGGGGGTGGAATGAGATGAGCTTTTAGTTTCCTTCCAAGCCCAACCATTCTGGGATTCTGTGGAGCTGGCAGAGGAGATGCCCCACGTGGTGACTTTTTGTACTTTGGGATGCTTCATATCCCAACATCAGCATTGCCATCCAGCTGCCTTAGAGGTGGTGGATATGCTCAGTTCAGGCTCAGGTGTTCAGGGTAAGGAATGTGTGTACTCAGGTGTACTGTCAGTTTAATCTCTTAGATGACTTTAAGGCTTTTCCCTGATAATCTCTGGAAGGGCTGGTGACTGTTGGATAAGGAGCCTGTTAAACACATGGAGGTGGCTGGCTGGTTGGGCCACCACAAGCCCCTCTCTGCTGTGTTTCAGCTGTGATCTAACACCCCCAGCCTTTGGAGGGAGTCTTGTCACGAATCTCTAATGAGAAGTGACCAAAAAAAAAAAAAGTCTTTTGCATCTGCTTTAAGGAACTTACTGGAGTGACAAGTCTGTCTAACCTAGTTTTTAATTCCCTTGATATGGGAAAGTTTCTGTGCCCAGGCAGAAGGCCCAGAAGGGTTATGCATCATTTACAACCCAGTGTTCAAAACGAGGGGCAAGATGGGGGCAGGTGGGAGTGAAAATGTAGGTTTATAATTCTCAGCTCAGCAGGAGCCACTGTTCTGTACAGGGTCAAACCCCAACTGATTAACAGCTCCTGGCAAGGGCAGGAGTTCCAGGTTCCCTCCTGCTTCCTGCTGGCACGACAGAGAAAGTGTCCTTTCACTGTGCCAAGTCACAGCTCTTGGCTGAGTGTACCCTCTGAACACCTCCCAGGCCGTGTCTGAAGGACTTTGGCAGGTTTTGGGGTTCCCCAGAGAACCCAAGAGGAATAATTTCACTCTGTGGGACACCTTGGTTCCGGCTGATTTCCCATTTAGGAGGCAGCTGTTTGTCTTTGAGGGGTGTGCTGCTGCTGTTCAGTGTAAAAGTCTCCTAATGCCAGGCTGTTTTAAAGAAAAACCTAAAATATTTGGTATCTGGAGATCATAGGCTCTGTGGATAGTCAAACTGGGATTACTGGGATCATGAGTGTGGCTCCTGGGAGTCAGACAATACAGGGCTGGGTGCTGCTGAGCATCCCAGAGGTACCTGAGCTGCTTATTCTGCAGCCAGGCTTAGCACTGTCCTAAATGGACAAATTCCCAGAGGGATCTGCTGTCACCTTCCTCCTGCAAGGTGATCCCAGAGCCCTCTTCATTTGGGGCTCTCAGAGAGCTGACACACTTGTCTGGCAAATTTTTTGAATAGGACTTGGATTTTTAAAAGTCTTCACCACGGTGACCTTCTAGAAACACTTGAATTTTGCTGTGGGATTCCTTGTTTCTGTGAGATTCTTTGTAGGATTCCTGGCTTCTGTGGGCTCTGAGCTGTACTGATTCCTGCAGGATTTTTCAGGTAGAAACTCCTGGACAACCTGCCTTTGTCTCCCAGAAGGGATTTCCATATTTCCTGTGGTATAAGAGCAGAAGCTTGTAGGAGGGGAAAACACCCTGTGGAAGCTGTTTCAGCACCTGGGAGGTGGGACAACCATAAAACCCTGAACAAACTGCACTTCCCAATCTATTGCTGAGTGGTATCTGTGGGAATGACTGGACATCCTCGTGTCCCCAAGACCCCTTTCCAACACAGGCAAGGTGCCATTTCTTTTTGAATTTAGGCAGCCATGAGAATAAACAGAAATCACGTTACCATTGCCACTGGTGGTGGAACGGGGTGGAATGGATGGGTGGAATCCAACTGCAGGTAGGTGATGTCACAAGAACCCTGCATAGCACGAGCCTTGTTTTGTAGGAGTAAGTGTCTTTTTCTCACTGAAGGGAATAGTTTGACGTCCTAAAGGTTGGTTTTCTTTGGGACTGATGCCAGGAGTGGAGGAAAGGCAAGTTTTCCTTCATCCTCCCTCTGCTGATAGACACATGGACAGTCACACGAGTAGAGTGAAAGGCACAGAGGGGTGTTTTTCAGCCCGTTTTGCCTGGAATAATCTAAATATTGCTCAGCTGGGTGGGGAGAAGAGCAGAGCTGCCGTGGGGCCGTGGCTGAGGAGCGGCAGCCACAGGAGGTCAGTGTTGCACTGTGGATGCGGCAGCGAAAAGTCAGCGTGGCCTTGGAGGAAAACTTGACCCAGGAGGGAGGTTAATTCCTCTTGGGCACCTCTGGGTAGTTTGCTGAACACGGGAGCAAACCAGCGTGGCAAAACCCGGTGCTGGGGAAGAACACGCTCCTGGAAGGAGCGAGGATCTGCCACAGAGCGGGGAAGGAAAAGCGCCGAAGGAGCGCGGTGCGCATTTCACGCCCGGGAGCTGGGAGCAGACACTAGATGGCTTGGATCTGGATGGATCCCGGGAGCTGCAGGCTCTCACCTCCAAATCCTCGCCCTGTCTTTGGCCCAGGAGTGCCCTGGCAGGCGCGGAGAGCCGTGTGCTGGAGGTTCGGGGGCAGCTGGAGCGGAGCGTGGCGGTGGCCGCGGCGCAGGTGGCCGGGTTTGTTGGCAGCTTCGCTCCACTTATCAAGGCTGAAAAGCCCTTCTATGCCTGCTCTCAAATCCCTCTCTGCCTGCAATTTATCCTCTCAGGGTGGTCCGGGGGCAGGTTGGAGCAGGAGGCGTGAGGGATGCTACTGTCAGGGCCGGGGCTGGCTGCTGAAAGGAGATTTGCATTCCAGGAGATTCCAAGATTTGCGTCCAGCCGCTGCCTTCCCCCAGGGCTCTGTGCTCTGAAACGTGTTTTAAGGCCCGTTCCTAGGGAGCTCTGGCAGCTGTTTGATGTGGTGGCAGCGCTCTTAGAGAATGGCTGGGACAATGACAGAAGTGAAACTCGAATATTCTCCAGTAGGCTCTGTGGTTCCTTCATTAAAAACAGACAGATAAACAAACAAATTACAGCCCATTATGAGCGTGGCCTTCAGTTCCTCTTCAAACAGCTTTTTGCTGCTTTAAAAAGCCTTAAATAAGGACACAGCCTCCCCAGTCCAGGCCATAAACTGTTGGATTTAAGCTTTCCTTGTGCCTCCAGGTCCGTTGCCTTTGCTGTCTTCTGACTGTCTGATGTGAGCTTTTAATTCATTTGGCTTTTCCTGGTGAGAGGCTTCAGAACAAGATTCCTTGTGTGCAGTCTTTGATGTTACACCACAAAGAATCCCCCTACCCCCCCTTTTTCCAAATGCTCTGCTGAACCCCCATTAAAAAAAAAAAGAAAAAGAAAAAAAAAAGAAAAAGAAAAGTTTCATGTAACCAGAATGAGAGGAAGTGGGGTGACCCATGCAAATAGTTTTTGTGTCGCTTACAAAGGCTCAGATTCTATGGTGATGGGCTCAGCAAAAAGATCTGAACTCATTTAGGCAGGGCTGGGCTGAGTTGTCTTTGCATTGCACTGCCTGAAAGGCAGAGGATGCAGAGGGGTCCCTGCCAAGCCAGGCTGATACAGCCCAATATTCCCTGACCAGTTTGCTGTCTCTTCTCATGGCTCTGCCCTGGCAACACTGATTTTAACAACACAAAAGACCTCCAGCCCTCAGCCTTGAAATCAGAGGGTGAAACATGCTGTGGAAATTCAGCCAGAATTTTACTTCCTCTGAAAGTAGATAAATAACTGGTTTGCTTCATTTGACTCTTAGTGACTTCTGCCTTATTGCTTTGTTGACACCAAGCTCCCGCTACAAAACTCTGTCCCTGTTCTCAGTGTCTCACATCCCTGCCTCTGGGCACCTGGGATTCTTCCCCTTCTTGGGGCTGAGGGAGAGGGAAAACGATTGTCTGTGCCACAGGTTGGAACAAAGCTCTCCATTTTCCCATTCAGTGCCTGTGCAGTCTGGCTGGCTGGCTGAGGGCGTGGGGCTCGGGGACTGTTTTGTTTTTCGGCTGCAGGCGGGGGCCCAAACAGAACAGGTGCCCCGGGTGCAGAATGTGAATCCTCAGCTTCATGAAAGGCCTTTGTCAGCAGTGTGATTTTTGGAGAGGAGAAACCTATGCAGTGACCCTTTTCAGTAGCATCTGATGCGTGCACCGTGATTAGAAAGAGTAGGGGAAGTTAAAAATAACCTGTGGAGGAGGCATTCTAATGAGCAATTATCATTCCTTTCCATTGACTTTTGCAGCAAGACTCTCCATGTGTTTAGTCTTCTCGAAAGAACATGCCAGATGTTAGAGTGAGTGACTTGTTAAGTCCCTCAATACTGTTCTCACTGGTGTACTGAACCATTGTCAGGGTGGGTGTGTTTTTTTCTTCTTTTTTTTTTTTTTTCTGTAACTATTAAAATAATTGGGCCCCGAACATTCTGACCTGATAAAGCAAAAGAATCTTGGCTGGCTTTCCTTGGGGTCACGTTTGTGAATAGAAAACTCGGGGAGTGCTTGCCAGAACAAAGAAATGTTTCTGCATGCAAAGATCTTCAATAACTTAATCTGAGGTGGAATCATCTGGCTTCAGAAATCGTGCCTCCTGGCAAAAATCTGACTTTTGCATTTCAACATCCTGAACTTTAGTCTTCAAGGAGTCTTTTGTGCTTGTGGGGCTCTGCTGTTCTCCCCAAAGGGAGCTCTTTAGAAATGATTGACGACAAGGCCAGTTCTACCTTTGCAAAAAATTTTTTAATATGGGGAGAGCAACGAGGAAAGCAGATCTCGCTTCACAAAGCCACTGAAGCCCTTTTTTTTTGTTTTTTTTTTGTGTCCCTGCTCCCGTGTAGGAATCTTAATTGGATTAAAATACGAATCTGTATATTGTGATTTTGCATGCCATGGATCCCACCCTCTTGTTTTTAGCCACATTGGCCAAACTCAATGAAGTGCACGGTCAATGTTTGAGCTCTGCCTTTGGTGTCCCTCGGTTGGAGCTCATTAAGCATTCGGGGGAATAATAATTCTGGGACTTGAACTTTGATCTGAGGAATCTGGGAAAGAAAGGGCCGGAAATTGCAGCAGCCTGATTAGCTACCCCAAGTTGATCAACTTTTCTGCCAGATGCAGGCAGAGCTCCCAGAGGCTGGAAGACAATGGTGGGGGTGAGGCAGAGCCGCCTCCGCCGTGTTGTGTCTGCGCTCCCATCACATCCCATTACTGTCTCCAGTGCAGATGGCACTTTGAACCACTCCACACGCCCACAGCCAACCAGGAGCTTTGTCCAAAACATCTGCTTGGCAAAAAAAATTAAATAAAATATATATATATATTTAACCTTAAGTATTTGCTGATTTTCACGCATCTGGGAGTCGTGGTGTTTTATCTGGGACTGGAAACATCGAATTATCTTGAGAACACTCATCCTTTGCCTCTGAGTTCCGTCTGTCTTGAGTCTGACTCCGTCCTGCTGAAATTGCCACAAGTCCAATGTGAATTACAGCACGTGCCAGAGTGCTGCACAGCGAGCAGTTCTCCACCCCTCAGGAGGAAATTTGGGTTGGGGTGTGAAGCCTGAAATGCTCACGTTTGGGACATGGTGGGGTTTGTCGTGTATTTTCATTTTCCCAAAAATGCCGTGAGAATTTCAACTCGAATTCGAGTCCATGTTGTGACAACCTGAACCAGCTTCAGGGCTCTGCTGTGCCTGACTGGGAATTTTCTGACACTGGGATTGAAAAATCCCAGCTGTAACAGAGAGGAGGGAACTCGAGTTGTTCCTCACAGAGCAGAGCTCGAGACTTGGGTATCTTCCTCCTTGTAAAGCAGATGTACCTGCCACCGTGGGAATAACCCTGAATTATTGATCCCTCCACCTCTGGAAAGCTTTGCTTATTGTTGTTGCTTTCCCTTAAAACTTTGGACACTTTCAATTTCTGTCAAGAGACGCATCAAATGTCTCCCTCAATAAATACCCACAAGCAACTGCTGCCTAGTGCCATGTTTCTGGATGCTTGGCCAGCTGGCAAAGGAGGAATGGGATGTGGAGCTTTTCCAGAAGAGCTTCTGAGGAAGACAAAATTCTTTTTTTTTTTTTCCCTCGTTCCTGCTAGAAATCAAATACCAAATATTGTAGTTGAAACCCCAAATGGTTTGGGTTCCAGAAATAAGACGTCGTGGTGCCTTACGGGCTGCAGTTGCCATATTTCTCGGTCCCTCTTTTTCTGGGAGGAGCTTTGGTCCCTCTCCTGTCTCAGACATGGGGTGATGGCAGTGGTCTGTCACGTGGAAATGTGCTCAGGATGTTTTCCAGGAGGAAAATCGCCGAATAATGTTGTTTGAAAGAAAAGTTTCCTTTTCAAGCGAAAAAACGTAATAGAATTCTGGCCAACTCCCACTCCCGCCTCCCGTCGCAGAAACCCCGTGTTATGGTTGTGTGGAGCATCAGAAACTGCCTTTAATATGGTTTTGGAAATTCGATGTTGAGTGACTGGGTCTCAGTTTTCATGATGGAGAGGTGTCTCCTTGTCAAAGAGCCAAACGCTCTGCCAAGATTCCGAGTGTTCTGTCCCTATATAAAGCTGAGGTTTAGTTTCAGGCACAGTGACTGAGGAAGCTGACACTATTCCAACATGTTGTTCATATCCTGAAGTCTTTTAATTTCCCCTGGCTGCTGTTGCAACAGCCCTGTTTCGCTGAATAAATTAATCAGAACATAAGATTTGTTGAATATGAAGCCTCAAAACCCCCCCCCAGGTTCCACTTGTGACTTTGACAAAGCTGTTCTAGTGGGTGGTTAGTCACTATTTTTCCCCTCTATGGGTGAAACGGTTACAAGAACCTCTGCTATTGTTGCTAGAAAAAGTGGCTTCCTGTGATATAAAGTAATTTTTTTAAATAGGAAACATATGGCTGGTCCTTAACAACAAAGTAATATTCAGGTGCTGATGGCATATGCCTCCAGTCCTATTACAGGAAGCTATCTTGGAAATCTGGTGGCAGAGGCTTAGACACTAATTTTCAGGAAGTGGGGTTGAGGGGGATGGAACCTGAAACTGATATCAGAAGTACATTTACATTTTTAATTTCGCTGGAAGTTCTTTGCTGTTCCTGCTTTAGAAGTCTCTGATACTCACTCCCTGTTAGCTACAGTAAACAAATGCTGTGTGAGGTCTGTGCTGCTCTGTTTAATTCTCATTTGAGGGGAAAAAAAGACCCAGTAAATTCATCCTGAGAGCTCCTCTCAGGGGTTGGTGTCTCACGTGGGAGCACGGAGTGACAGGGCAAGGGGGGAGTGGATTCAGACTGAAAGAAAGGAGGTTTAGGTTGGATATTAGGAGGAAATTCTTGGCTGTGAGGGTGGGCAGGCCCTGGCACAGGCTGCCCAGAGAAGCTGTGGCTGCCCCTGGATCCCTGGAAGTGTCCAAGGCCAGGCTGGAGCAACCTGGGCTAGTGGAAGGTGTCCCTGCCCATGGCAGGGGGTGGGATGAGAGGATCTTTAATGTGCCTCCCAACCCAACCCATCTATGATTTCACTTGACTGTTCCAAGGTTGGCCACCTTAAGCTGGGATTGAACATGGCTTTATGATCCTCAGGTTGGGGAGGATGCCCTGTGGTCCAACCCCATTCTCCACTTCAGGATCACAAGACCCAGATTGTCCCTTAACAGATGTTTTTCCACTTCGATTTTTTTTCTCCTGAACCCCTTGGTGAGCAAATTCCTCGTGCCTTGTACTGAGAATAAGAAACCTCTTGTTCTTAATCATCATTTTTCTCTTCTTTTTCGTGCCTGAAGTTGTGGAACTGCTGTGCATGAGCTCTTGCTTTGCATTTCCCTGCCTCTTGCGTGGCTTTCTGGGACCTCCAAGGGCTGCTGGGGGTCACCATGTGCTCACTAAATTACATTGCTTTTGTTGTTGTTGTTCTTGCATTACCAGAGCCAGGCTTGGACTGGACCATAGCTGAGGATTTTATTTTTATCCTCCACTGCTGGCATTTTTGCCTACCTGCTTCTAATAATTAATAATATTTACTTTTGTTTCCTTAGCACTGAGACACGAGCCAAACTACTTTTTTTTTTTTTCTCCTCCCCCTGGGTTTTGGCTGAAAACTTTTAATTTTTAATTAAAAATCCAAGTGTTGTTCATCATGCCCCGAAATTCAGGCCGCTTCTCAGCTGGAGCTTGGGTTGGACTCAGTGCTGGTCAGGAGGTTTGCTGTCCATGTGCTTCTGGGAGTGGCAAACAAACCAGGGATGTGTGGAATCAGCCTCACTGGTGGCACAGCTCTGTGGGCATCACACACTTTTGGTGTGGGGCACTGTCAAGCCACTAAAATCCATCGTGGTTTTTATCTTCTCGGGCCGAAACTCACGCTTAGGGTTGCTCAGCCCACTGCAAAAGCCCCTTCCCACCATCCCAGCTCTCGCCTTCGTTATTTCTCAGCTCCCAATTAGTGCTCTCACACCTGCACCTTCATCCACAAACATGTTTTAACCCTTGGGAGGGCTGGAAAAACCCGTCAGGAAAAATCTCTGCATGTGGAGTGACTTTTGTGTCAAGAAGGGACGTTTGAGTTTGTTTTATCCCTGTACTCCAGGAGTCAACATCTAAGCAAATTTTTTTTGTTTGGCAACGAGCTCTTAGGGGGCAAATGGCACTGTGGAATGTCTTAACTTCCAGCAGGAGGAAATAAATAGGCAAGTGGGAGCACCGAGGTTTTCTAGTGAGGATTCTGAATCGTGTAGGAATCTTCTCCAGAGTTTCAGCAGGTTGCAAAGAGACACAACAGCTCAGCAGGACTGATTAAGTGTCTGCAACTCTGAGTCTAAGATAGTGCTATAATAAAAGTGACAAATGAGGAAGAGCGGTGTGTCTGCTGGAAACTTAGCATGACTGAATGAAAAAAGTGCACGGGGTAATTTATTGTCAATGAAGAACCATCAGCAGGAGAGAGGGAACCTAATTCATCCCACTTAATTAGGTGTGGGACTTAAACCTTGGGCTTGCACAGCTCCAGCCAGAGAGTCACTTGGGCTCTCGGAGGACTTTGACTACAAAACCTTGAAATGAGTTTTAATTGTTGGTTCAAATGGCTGCCTGAACAATAACCGAGAAAAAACCCTCTGGATCAGCCTTGGCTGGGAATGTCACCACTATCAGCAGCTTCCAGAGGCTTCACCTGGGTGTTTTCCTGCACGTCCGGAGCTGTTTTACTAAAAACTGTGGTTTTCAAGAGCGTGTGCTGTTCAAAGCAGCCACGTGGGGTGGCACAGCTTTGTGTCACCCTGCCTGGGCAGGTGGGCTTGGACTGAAAGATCTCCCTTTGTGTGTCCCTTCTGAGCTGTGGCTGTGCCCACCCAGACCCTCAGCAGCCCCCCACCAAAACCTGCAGGTAGTTTAACACCCACCCTCCCCTCCCCAGCCCAACAAACACAGCGTCCTGCTGCTAAAAACGACATCTCTAGTCATTCCCCAGGGAACCTTCCCTTCTCCCAAGCCTTGGGAAGCACTGAATCCATGGAGAGGGGAACGGCAGCAGCTTTTGCATGCGTGGCCAGAGAGCACATTTGGAGGGATAAAGCACATTTTGAGGGATAAAGCACAAAGATGGTGTTTTTTACAGGGCTGGGTGAGGCTGTTGAGCAACAAAGGGATCCCACCATGCTGAGAGAGGGAGAATTCCATGGGATGTAATTCCCAACATGAAGCTCCAGGCAGAACCAGTGTGGTCAGCTCGAGGCTGGAGTGGCTGAGGGGGAGCAGGGAGGAGGAGGAGGAGGGTATCCCAGACCGGGAATGCTTCTACAAATAAAGGAACAACGACACAAAAAGGCACTGGAGCTCTTCCTCCCCTGCCGGCAGAGCCCGGGCTGGGTGTGGGATCCACATGAGCCGGGCTTGTCCTACAAAAATGATTTGTTAGACAAGTAGAGCCGGGGCTGGGAGCAGGGGGAGGTGGAAGGAGTCGGGGCGGAGGGGGAACCTTGGAATGGATTCAGGAATGACTGATGGGCTCGAGTGAAAATTTTATCCGACTACTACCTCGTGGAGGGGTGGGGGCTGAGAAGTGGAAGGGGGGGAGAAGTGAGAAAAGGCGAATGGAGAAAGGCTGGGCTGTCTGCTGGAGCATTGTGATGTTTTATTTTTCGCTGCTAAATGCAAAATTGATTTTTTTTTTTTAAGATGCATTAAAAAAAAAAAAAAAAGGCAAGCAGCCTCTACCTCTCTCTTATAATTCCCAGACAAAGGAAGCTGAA